CTGCCGGGAACCGCGCAGGAAGGAACGGACTCAGCGGACGCGGCCAGGTCCCCAGGCCCTGGCCCTGCGGCCGCAGGGAGGAGCGCAGTGCGGCCCGCTCGCCACCGTGCCCGGGCCCGCCGAACTAGGTTCCTTCAGCCCAGGAACTAGGGAGAGAAAAAAAAGAAAGCCGCCTGTCTCCAGATCTAAGAATAGAAACCAGGGCGTTCGGAAAGACACCGCCCAGCTGGCCCCTTTCAGGAAAACATCTCTTTAGAGTTCCCCCTATAGGGAGATGGGTAATCTGCCCCAAAGGATGCAGAGAGAGTTCAGCCATCAGAATTTCTCACTGCGTTCTTTTCTGTGGTTGTTGAAACTGTTTGCAGGGGAAGAAGCAAAACTCCTTACGCTGTTAGTTGTCGGATGGTCCCTTCGTCAAAAGGTCACTAAATTAACTTCTGAAATTTCCCTTTGCACTAGGCAGGATCCTGATAGTTGGGATGCACCAAAAAGTAATCAGTCTCCAGCGCTGTTAGAACTAAAAGAAAGTCGAGGTAAAAGAATGGGAAGGGGGGACGGTGAAAGAAGCAAAAGGAAACATTGTTCTCTTCATATTCAGAATTATTTATGAGTAAGGACATCTATAACCCGGAAGTTTGCTGCTGTTGTTTTTGTTTACGTACCAGCATGATGTGTTTTTCAGGAAGAGGAACTTTAATAAGAACACCAACAGGACTAAACAAAGAGGATGTATCGCCTTGAGATGATCTGCCCTGGGGCATTTTCAAAGGCGTATCAGACTGGAAGCTAGTACTAGGCTATTTGAGACCTTTTTAAACATGTTACTTCCTTCTGATGATAATACTGAAACGGATGACAGCCACTGTGTATCCTTTTACTAATGAGCAAATTGAGATGTAGATTTGATAAGTGAAGAGGTTTGCTGGGGACTCACAGACAGGAAATGGAGGACTGAGATCCAGATAGAACCCCTAGAGCCAGGTTGGAGGTTCTTGGCGCTTTGCCACTTTGATCAGTGAGAGCTTGCTTCCTTGGGACATTGAGTTAGGAAGATAGCAAATTCAAACTCAACCTGTATCTTGTGAATACAGTTTGTTGTAGAGTTTTTATCTTTTACAAACACTAAAATATTTGCAGTTGAAGTGGTAGAGTGATAGGATTTGCTTCAAAGTAATCAGGCGTGGGGAAAGGGTGGAATGGATTGAGGTGGAGAAGTGATGGGTTTGTGAGGCCCACTGTACTATTTTCTGTATAAAACTGCATGAGAAAAAAAAAAAACCTCTCAACTTTATCATCTTTATCGGACCTACAGTATATTTTCTTTTTGTTTTTTAAGCTTGCCAATAGGGCACATGCTTGCTCGAGTGAGACAAAGCAAAAGAGAGAGAAAGTGGGGGGGGGGGCTGTGGAGGACAATGTGGGACTCTCCTCTTTCAAGCTTCAGGTCAGAACTTGAACCCCTTAATAGGCCATGTGGGATCTAGCTGCCTTGACCAGGCCACCTCACTGACCCCAGTATATTTTTAAATGTTTTTAAATAACTTTTTTAAGATTTTTTTTCCTTTGGGCAGATGCGCTCACGGGAGAAAGAGAGACAGTGAAAGGGAAAGTGAGAAATCAACCCCTAGTGGGGATGGCAACACAGAAATCCCTTCTTCTCCATTTACCTCGTGGGATCTTGGGCACCCATGCATACATGCCCAGTGTGTTTCAAGCCACAGGGTCATGGAACAGCAGTCGGCTATATGGGAGTCCAGTGACATAACTACTAACTATGTCATCTTTTAGCCCCAGGTATATCCTTTTTAAGGTGGTTTCTGAACTTGTTTCAAGTCTTTCAAATCAATATCTCAAACATTCCTAATTCTCTGTTTCATGCCTTTCCCTTCTGTCCTGTCTCAGTTTCTCCCTTCCCAGTGTACGGGATTACTCTCTTGCAAGAAAGTAAAACCAGCTTTGCGCAGTGGCAGTATCGTAGCCAATGAGGTTTATCCGAGGCGCGATTATTGCTAATTGAAAGAAAGTAAAACCCACCTCTCAATGTAAACTGAAGCTGAATTTTTAAAAAAGTGTCTCCTAATATTCTCAATTCACTCATCGTCTATTGCCCATTTATTGTCTACTACCAGGCTGTGAGCAAACAATGTAGGGCTATGAATTCCCTGTTGGGAGCATTCTCCCATGAACTACTGCAGCAGTAGGGCAAGGTATTCTCTTAGCTTTCAGAACTACAGTGCACAGCAGTAATGAACTCGACTCACGTGGGAAAGACCCTGGGTTTATATCCCAGTGAGACACACATGCCAGAGGTTCAGACCAGCTGAGATGAGGGTGGGTTATGCAGAATGAAGAACTTATTGAAGGTAACTGTCTCTCTCAGATAAAATAAAAAAAAATAAAGCAAAAAAAAAATGCTTAATTAACTAAGGTGTCAAGACTAATCAAATTTTCAAGTAGTTAACAAGACTGAAAATGAAAGCTTCAGACACAAATTCATGATTGAGGCAGTGTTCACTGGAAAATAAAATGGTGCGAGTGTATTTGGCTAACTTCCTGGGGTGGGGGGGGAAGAAAGCTGGCTTGACTAATTACAGCAAACACAAAAATGAACTCCATATGGATTAAATAGCTAAATAAAAATAACTTTAAGAAGAAAATATAGATTCATAGTTATTTAATTTTGGTATGAGGAAACATCAAAACAAAGAAATCACAGAAGATTGATATATGCAACTCCATGAAATTTAAATTTTCTGCAAAGAAAAAGAAACAAACATAAAACTAAAAGTAAATAGCAAACTGGAGGGAGAGGGGAGAAGCTGTAATACATATGACCAAAATACAGTGAGCCTTAATCCTTTGAAAGTTGTTACTGACCAATGCAGTGACTCGTGGTAATACAACACTGTGATGTTGAAGCCATATTGGAAGGTCCTGGGTTCGTGTCCCAAGATCTCACTGTGCACACTGAGTGGGCATGTGTAGGTCTACGATCCTGGCTGAGGTTGAGGATACATCATGTCATGAAGACCCTGTTGAGGTTGCCTCTCTCATCCTCTGTCCCTCTGTCTCTCTGTCTGTCTCTCTCTCTCTCTCTCTCTCTCTCTCTCTCTCTGCCTCCTTCTCTCATGGGAGAACTAAATAAATGTTAAAAAAAAAAAAAACATTTCTTACTAATTGCTAAGTAATGGGGCTCTCCACAAATAAGCCAAAAGAAAAATGGACTAAGGTTTCAAACAGGAAATTCATTGTGAATGAACAGTAAGATGATGTGTAAACTTTTTTCAAATATCCAACATTATATAAAAATTAGGTTCATAATGTCAGAGACATAGCTGTAAAGTGTAATTGTGTGTGTGTTTGTGTGTGTGTGTATGCAATAACAACAAAAACTGAAAACAAATCTAGTATTTATAAAACCTTCATAAAGATATTATTGAACAATATAAAAAGGTAATAAAGAGATATAAATAGGGCAAGTCAGTGGCATGGTGGTTAAGGCAGTTAGATCATCTCACATGGCAGACCTCACAGTTCAAGTCCTGCACCTAGTGGCTTGAAAAATATGTCAAGCTTTTGTTCATGTGTGCCCAAAGTCCCAAGACAAGAATGAAGAAGGGATTGTAGCATGGCCATCCCCTATGTGGGATAATATCTCACACTCCCTCTCTCTCTCTCTTTCTTTGATGAGCACACCACACACCCTATAACAAAGCTAAAAAGAATACATGAATAATGGATATGCCATATTAATGGGAAGATTAAATATCAAAAATGATAATTTTCCACAAAGTAATAAAAAACAATGAAAGACTAAATAATGAAATTCTCAGCAAGACTTGTATGTTTCAGCAAGATCACAGAGCCTAGAATAACCCAGGCTCTTTTGATGGGCAAATAGAAGAATTACTCAGCCAGACATTGAGCCAAAGCCCATACAAGATTTATCTATTAACTTCTCAGAGGAGGAAAAAGTGCCCCTGGAAGCACATGATTTAGGCAGCTGAGTGAGAAAAATGTACACCTTCCTCTAAGCAGACACACCACCCTGTGAGAATGTACCAAGCAGAATTTGGATTTTAGGCTACCCATTCCTTCATCCTGGACTCCTTATGCAGGGCAAGACTTGTACAACACGTTAAGTACTGTTGTACCATGAAGCTACACAAATTAATGGGCATGGACAGCCACACAGACTAATGATGGAAAGAGCCAGATCCCACATGGCCTACCATAGCTCAAACCTTGCCCTTGCCTCTTGAAAAACATGCCAGGCATGTGTGCATGCCCCAAAGCCCAACAGTATAGAGAAGAAAGTAGTGCAGCCTGATCATGCCCCACTGGGGGAGTGCTTTTTCCTTCTCTTTTTCTCTCTGTCTCTCTATCTCTGTCTGGTGAGCACGAGTGCCCTCTGACAATTTTTTTAAAAGAATTATTTTACTTAACTTTATTTATTTTATAATTTTAACTTCACCAGAGCAGGACAGAGTGAAAAAGAGAGAGGGAGAGAAAGCAAGCCATGGTTGGCCATGTGGGAGTCCAACACCTTAACCACCACACCATTTGCCAGCCCTGACAATGTTTTAAGAAGAAAGAAATGAATTGGGATGTTATTGATGTATGAAATGACCAATCAAATGACCAAAATGACCAATGAAAGAAATATAAGGTATTTAGAAATGGCTCCTTATATGAATGAAATGATACATGAGATTTTCACTGTGTGTCAGAGGGAAGAGAAAGGACAATTTGATAAATGAATCTGAGAGCACTGATTATAGAAAAAGCATAAATTATACCCTTACTTCACACTATATTAAAAAATAAATTCCATATGTATTGCACACTTTTTTATAAAAAACGAAACCAGGACTTTTAAAAACATATAGAAAACTATCTTTCTGACCTTAAGACAGGAAAAAACAGTATATAAGTAGCACAGTCCATAAAGGAAAAGGTTATTAAATTCAAGGACATTAAAATTTTAAAAATTGGTAAACAAAAGACTCCACAAATAAAGTTAAAAGGTAAGCACAAGCTGAAAGAAGAATTTTGCAATATAAATAACCAATAAGAGATTAATAAAAAGAATAGGACCAGACAGTAATGCAGCTGGAAAACACAGTTTTGTGCAAGGCTGACTCATGTGGGAGGTTCTCAGTTTGCACCAGAGACCAAGAGAGAATTTTTTTTTTTGAGAGATTTTCGCTATAGGGCGCGTGCGTTTACCAGACAGACAGAGACAGAGAGACAGAAAGCAAGAAATCAGCCCCCAGGGGGATGGTCACGCCGCAATCCCTTCTCCTCCATTCTCCTCTCGGGATCTTGGGCACGCACGCACATGCGCCCTGCGTGAGTTTTAAGCCACCGGGTCCGGGACGCGAACCGCGGTCGACTACGTGGGAGTCCAGCGACATAGCCATTATGCTAACTGCTGGTCCCGAGAAATTTATTTTTTAATATAGTGTGAAGTAGGGGTATAATTCGATGCTTTTTCTATAATCAGTGGTCTCATTCATTTATCAAATTATCGCTTCTCTTCCCTCTGATGCACAATGTAAATGCTCTCATGTATCATTTTCATACATGGAAGGATTTTTGAGTACCTTACACTTCTTTCACTAGTCATTTTGGTCATTTGATTGGTCATTTCATATGTCGATTACATGCCAATTAATTTCTTTTTTTAACTTTTCTTCAAAATTATTTTATTTATTATTGTTATTTTAATTTGACTAAAGAGAGACAGAGAAAGAGAGAGGGAAAGTGAGAAAGCAAGCTGCCAGGTTTGGAACTCAAACTGCAGTCAACCATGTGGAAGTCCAGGACCTTAACCGCCATACCACCTGCCAGTCCTGCCAATTATTTTCTAATTTCCTGAATATGCTAGGCACATGTGTACCTGTAATCTGGGGTTGGCTGAGGCTGGGGGTGGATCATCACATCAAGACCTTGTTGGAGTTGCCTCTGTCTTTCTGTTTCTCTCACAGATAGATGGATGATTGATAGATAGATAGATAGATATAGCTAGATAGAATTATCACAAATTATATTGGAAAAAATAATAGCCTACTTTTTACTTGACTTAAAGGTACAAAAGGCAATTTACAGAAGAGGAAATGCTGATAAAAGATTCTCAACTCCACTAGTAATCAAGAAAATGCCAATTACAGCCATAATAAATGTCATTTCACACCCCTAAGATTAACTGGAAATGTAATTTATTTATTATATTTATTTATTTGTTTATTTTTAGTTTGCTATAGGGCATGTGCAGTCACTAAAGAGAGAAAAAGTGAGAATTCACTCCCTGGGGAGACAGCCATGCCGCAATCCTTTCTCCCCCATTCTCCTCTTGGCATTTGTATTTTCAAGTCAACCACTAGGTTTGAACCGCAGTCAGCAACATGGGATCCAGCTGCCTTAATGGCGATACCACCAGCTGGCCCCAGAAATTTAGAAATTTAAATTTTAATTATACCAATTATTGACTGGGAAGTGAAGCAACTACAGTATTTGCGCAGAGTTAGTGGGAGTGTAAATCAGACCAATCACTTTGGAGAGCAATATGGCAAGATCTACCAAAGTAGAAGGTGTATCAACCCATAAGGCAGTGCTTTTACTCTGTGGCTATTCTTGGGAAAGCTCTTACATGTATATAGGGACATGTTTGCAAGAATGCTCAATGAAGCAATATTGGCTTATAATGAAAATGAAAACCGTCTAAATTATCCATCATTTAAATTCATATATTTATATAAGAAACTTCTATAAATCTGTGGAAATGACTGAACTAAAGCACCATGTATCGACATGGTAAATAGCAAAATATATAGTACTGGGCTTTTAAAAAGTTTGCAGGAGAATAACATAGTTGGATGTCCATATTCTAATGCTACAAAATGCAAGACTGCAATTACTTTAGGGATATATATGTATGTGGTAGAACTATAAAATGTATTCATTGAAATAAAATCTACAGTATTTTAACTAGTGTTTAAGTCTGGGGAGGGGAAGTCTAAAAGCATCCCAAAAGACTATACTGAGGGCTACAATTATATCTGTAACTTTTCTTCTTAAGCTTGTTGGGTACAT